TTTCCGTCGTACGTCGATGTGAAGCGTATTTTATTGTTTTACCTACATGTTTTATTCGTTTCTTTGAGTTGATCGATTAACAGAGCGCAATGAATCAACCCATTTTGGATGTCGTCCAGCAGATGAAAGAGAGGCTCACTGTCTTATCCACCCCTGAGAGTCTCGAAAACTTGACAAAATCTCTCAAACCCGTCACACAAGAGATGGAGAGCATATTAGACAAGAGGAAATCGTATTCAAACGTGGCTCCAGCCATCCACGAACAAAAGGTGAGAAAAGAGAAGAGAAAGAAATTAAAACTGAGCGTTGTAGATCAACGAGCTGTTCGATCTGACGAAGAAGTGGGATACCTTCTCTCAGCAGCTACCTTCTATCGTGCAGAGGCTGCAGAGTCTAAAGGCCCTTCACGAGCAGTCCGTGTCCTTTGTGGGCTCTGTCAGCCAGATCGAGGCCCAGCAAGAGGAAATCAAGAATTTGGTCAAGTACAATAACGAACTGTCCAACAAGGTGATGATGAGAAGTTTTTCAACAGTGTCCATCGATGATGTCGAACGGGAGATGATGGTGATGCTGATGGGATTCTCAGTTGGACGAAAACTTTAGAGGTAACATGGAGACGATACAGAAGAACGTGGCCTCTCTCGAGAAGAGATACGAAGACATGAGAAAGAAACTGGAGGCCGTGGGCATGGAGACCTTCTAAACATGAATGAACGTTGGTTGCCGCATCACTTGTCCTCATGCGTGTCCTCGGACTCAGCGTCACGCGGTATTGATTCGAACTCGATTCGGGTTCTATGAAACCGACCTCCATGCGATGCGTCAGACGGACCGAACGGAGGAGGAGAGTGGACGGGAGTGGTCGCTGTATCTAAAGAAGGTCCACATCCGGGATCGTCGTGGTGGAGAATTCGCGAAAACACACAAAACCCCCACAGAACAAGCAAGACACAACATCACTCAACGAAAATAGAGATCAAAATAGATAACGCTCACAAAGCTACACCTTCTCTTAGAAAGAAGAGAGTAGAAGGAAGCATGAGTCACGAGGAGCTGGCCAGTCACGCTTCCAATGATGACAATACGAATCCGAATGGAGAGGAGGAAGAAGAGCCAGAGACTAGATCACAGTACATCAAGAAGTGGATCATAAGAGGAATCCTTATCAGCGTGCTCGCCGGATGTGTAGGGGTTATCATATGGATGGTCTTGAAACCGAGTCGAATGGCGGCACTGATAGAATGGATCCGAGGACTAGGTATCTGGGGTAATGCAAGTGAGTCTGCCGTTCGGGCGTTCATCTTAGAAGACGAATCTGATGGTTGCAGTATGTTGTGCCATATTCATCTTGACGACTCTGCCTTTCGGAACTGGATACACAGAAGTCGCCATTGCCTGTGGCTTCCTGTACGATTTATGGATAGGTGGGATCCTCCAATTCACTTTGACCAACTCATTTTTATAACAGGCGTCGCCACCACTTTCATAGGGACAGTCTGCTTTGGTTCTCCCATTGCATTTTTCATGTGCAAATATTTATTCAACAAACCAGTGATGAAATACATCAACAAGAAGGAGAAACTGAAGATCTTATTGAAAGCTGTGCAATCCAACGGTTTTACCATCATCTTCCTGATGAGATTGTCACCTGTGCCGATGGGCATTCAAAACGCCCTCTTTGCCGTGAGTCATTAATACATCAGACGTTGTGATGACTGATGATGGTGTGGGTGACGCTGTTACAGGTGGCAGGTATAAGATTCTGGGTATTCATCACGGCCACTGGATTGGGCTTGTTGCCAGAGATGTTCGTATGGGTTAACATGGGAAAAACCATCAACAGTGAGTCAAAAACAAATATCACACCATCTCTCGTCATACATGCATCATCGAGATGATCAAAATGGAAGAAGATTTATTTTAATATCATTTTATCAGATATCTCTGAGATTGTATCGGGTCATAAGAGTGGAACGGCACCCAAAGTCATCATGGGAGTGCAGATCGGCATCACCGTCATCCTCTTAATCTTCATGGTCCTCCTCGGTCGTCACGTGTTGAACAAGGCCATGCGAGTCGAAAAAGATGAAGAGAGGCAAGGTCTGTTGCAGAACGGACAAGATGTGCACCATGATGAATGCATGGACTCACCTCTCGTCGAATTAGACAAGGGGCGGATTCAAGAATAAATGTAGGATGTAGAAATAGCGAAGATCGATTGTGATGATGCATCGCGATGATCTCACAGAAGCTCGGAGATGAAGCGAAAAAGGGTCCAGTCTGTCATAATGACTGCATAGTGGAGTAACTGTTATAGATGTGGACAATGAATCAACAGGCAGGTGCGGAGATTTCTTGTCTAATGATGAAAGATCGCGTTGGTCGTCAATCAGAAGCGTGCTTGCACATCGATCTGATTTATCCTTGATGCAGATTTGCTTTCTACGAACGAGTGTGCATTTTTCTCGAAACACCGCGTTTCTTCTCCGGCTGCGACATCAGATCATCTTTTTCGAACCATCAGAGGAGACGAATGATGTCTAACGGTACCATCTCCAGTCACGATGCCACGAAAGCCATCTTGTACTTTGCGCTGAACAAAGGCAGAAGAGAAACGAACGACACAACGAGGAGACGATTCGCTGTTCTTCGCCTGACGTGCAAGTTGTGGAAAGACATCGGTGAGTCACTCAGTGGTAGTCAGCTGATGTTCTCAGTGGACAGCTTCACTTCTCTCGGCTGAACTCCCACTTCATCTGCCCAGGAAACACTCTGGGGTCGAACGTCTTTGTTACATCATACCACATTCCCTCGTAGCCCGGGGTCAATTCTTTACCCGAACACGTTCACCGTTGATGGATGGCGGATCGATCGTGCTCATCCGACTGAACCACGGTAGAAGGTCCAAATGTCTTCCGAGCTCACGTTCAGCTGAGCCAAGAATTCATCCAGTTGTGTCTGATGGAAGAATCAATTGGGAGTCCACTCGGAATGTAAGTGGAATCGTTCTCCGTGAAGAGATCTATTGTTTCAGTAGTTTCAACAAGAGTGTGACGTAGCCCTTTCCCTGCTTCCAAGATGATTCCTTCTCTTCCACTGGTTTCACTCCTTCTTTCGTTGCCAGCTCAAAGAACTGTCATCGAGATCAACATGATGTCATCAGATGATCAAACTCGTTGCAGCTGTCTTCACCTTCTCTATGTTTTCAATGATGAATTGATCCTCCCACACGAGAGAAAGAGGATGCGATTGGGTATCAGATGATACATGCATCAGGGAGTCTAATGCGTTAGAATATTTCTCCGGCGAGGGTGCCTCGTGGACCTGTAGAGTTGAGATGATTACGAGTCGATGACATCACCTCCATTAGACCTTCAAAGACAGTGGCGGCAGACACGGTGGGTGCTCTGCTGCCGTCTTTCTTGGGAGGTAATTTGACACCTAATCGGTTGGCTAATGTCGGCCACATGGGATCAGCGGGGTCGAAGGGCTGCACTGTTCAGTTGGTAATGTCTAAGACACTCGATCTCACTTCGTCTCGGTAGAAACAAAAAGTTCTTCCTGCCTTCTCCTTTTCGTGTTCAGTTTCGTTGTTCATAGAAGATCGTCTCACTTTACCGCGATACGCCCACGTCTTTTCTGCACATAATCGCTGATAGATCTCTTCTGATGATTTGGCATCCTTCAGTTGTGAGGGATGGATGTGGGATAGAGAGGCTCTCTCTCCGCGTTGATCGACAAAAATGAAGACAGCAGAGGTGGTGATGGGCTGAGCAGACAGAATGAGCTCTCTTCCTTGGTTTGTCCTGGACGTGAATCCTGGTGGTGTTTCAAATTCTCCTTTTCTCTTCACGTGCTCATTCATCCCTGCTTCCGATCTGACGATGATGTCCCAAAAAACGAGAAATCATTGTTGTAGATCTACTTGGAAGTTGTCACCAGCAAATTGGTCAGCATGAAGAGTAACCTCTCAAAAACAAGACCACATCCATAGACTCTCGACTCAAATCTGCAGTGAGTTAACATTGATGATGTTGGACAACTAGATCGTGAAGGACAGAGCCGCTGATAGAGGAATGGTTGCGCAGCAGAGAATACGAAGTGATACATGACCACGAAAAGGAATGGAAGACACGATAGAGTTGTGCACAGGCACCATCCTTGACGCCTCTTCTCATCCACTGCGGCGAATCCCGTTCACCGAACGGAAATACACCGCCTGATCTCCAACACACAGACATCACCATGCAATTCACCCACGACAGTCTGTATCACATCTTTCAGCACGTGCACAGATCGGACTTCTCGGCGATCCTCCGAGTGAACCAACTCTGGCATGCAATCGGTAATCTACATCATATACCATATCATCTCACGATCAACAGGGTTGGCCGTGTTGACGCCAGACAACCGAGATTTAGAGATTGCTCTGGAGAAGACGAAGCCCAGTCTGGAGGCCATCGAGAAACTCATTCGATATCATCACATCGATCCCTCGTCCCACAGAAACTGGCTCGTTATCACCGCTGCACAGAACAATTGGTATTCTCTACTGTGTCGCATACTGAAAGATCCAAGGTGAATCATCATTTCCACCATCCTCTCCTGACGTTCTCCAGAGTCGATCCATCGGCCCTGGATAATGCAGCTCTGAGAAGAGCGTGTGAAGCCGGCCACTCGCAGATCGTGAAGGAGCTGCTGCGACATCCAAAGGTTGATCCAACGGCGGACAACAGCTCGTGTCTCAGACTGGCCGCTCTGCATCAACACGTTCAAGTGGTTCGATTGCTTTTGGAGGATAAGAGGGCGGACGTCACCATTTACCCAGAGAGATTGCAAGATGCATGCTGGAGTCAAAAGATGAGGAGAGAGTTCGAGAGGGACAGCAGGTGGACCTTGCCATCGAGAGCAGATCGTCAACCGAGGAGGGGTTTGATGGAAAAGCTTGTCAAGATCTTTCGCATCATTGTAGAATAAAATGAAATGTATCAAAAAGAAGTTGCAAGCTGTGGGAGTCGAACCCACGAACCCGAAGGACTAGCACCTGAAGCTAGCGTGTTTGACCACTTCACTAAACTTGCTGGTTGAGGGAAAATTTATGCGCTTCGTTGCATAGCTCGCACATATGCTTTGATGGCAGTTCAATCGTTGAATGCCCACGATTTTGGGCTTTGAAAAAACCTCCACATCTCAAGCAACCTCCCACCTCGATCAAACTGCGAACAACCACCTCATCTCTCGGAGAACACCGTATTCAAGCCCGCGCTCACATGTGATCGCGATCTTCGGTCATCTTCAGGATCCCCAAATGGAGAGGTACCGCTCAGTCGGAGATGGTATCTGTGCTCAGTTGATTCCATTCCAACCTCCACAAAAAGAGAAGAAGATGCAACTGAACCAAATGCACAATAGCGATTGGGAGGGAAGTGTTTTGTGTACTCGCCATCGTGCATGATGCATTTCAACTTTCCCTCAGCGGAATGTCTCATGGATTGCCTGCTTGAATGGCTCTGGCGTCTTTTCTGTGGTCATCAACACGAATGGATTCATCGATGAGATGAGCCAATCGAGAAAATTTCACTTCCACGAGATCATCTTTGACTACATCCATCTATTCAGCATCTTTGTGGCTTCCTTTCAGTTCTGAAACAGTGGTTGCAAATTGGGGTACGAATTAACGATGTCGTCGTTCGACTCTAAACCTTGATCCAAAACGCCTTGTAGATCAGCAGCCACCTGCTGGTCATTGTCGTATTGGGACAACACGTCGGGTCTGTACGTCCTCAAATAGTCTGTCCAAGCAGCCGCCGCCGCCGCCGATGCGTAACTACCGTTACGGCTACGTACGTCCATAGCGTAAACTTGATGGATAACTCTCTCCGGTGGGAAAGCCAGATTGAGTACCGTTCCCAAGATGGTGGGTGACTCGTTGTAGATGGCTGGCGCACGCTGGGGGGCTTGTGACGTTGTGATGCGATCGCGGGAGTCGGTTGCAATCCAATTATCAAAGAATAAAGTCTGTCGGGTGGGACCATAATGAGGATAATCGTTGGCTGTGATTTTGGAGGGAACGATGTCTGTGCCGGTGACAATGATGGAGATGGAGGAGTTCAACTTGGAGAGTAACGAGGACATGCTTTGACCCCACGAGTTGTTGTCTGATGTTCCGGAGATGGAGCGGGAGTAGGAGGCGGGGACGATTCCTGATGAGATGATTAGATGATTAGATGATTAGATGATTAGATGATGGGAGATCAGATGGGGAGTTGATGAGATGATGAGAAGATCTCACCGACGAGTTTGATGGATTTGTAACCGTTCACAGCTGTGGCCAATTTCGCCTGTTGTTGCTGTTGGCCTGTGGTTCCTGCCCCGGCGACGTCATCGAAAGACATGATGAACCTGGACGGATGTTGGTCCGGTGAACGTCGAATGAGGCGACTCACCTGTCTATGCCGCACGCGCTGAAGTCGTTCAGTTTCGCCTTGACTGCATTCAATGTGGTAGTGTAATCGTCAATGTAACGAGGATGGATGCCCATTATGACCTGACATCTTCAGAATCACGTGGAAAGAGAGAACGAATTACCTTGACTCCAACGTTGTTAGCTTTGGTGATGGTGTTGCACCAATTGGATTTCGCATCAGGTGACCACGGAGTCAATGTGAATGGACTCTCTTCAGAATCTTGTGGGGAATAGATGTAAGCCCGGAGTGTTGTCTTCTTTCCGACGTATTCTATGAGAGAGTCTCTCATCTGGTAGGTGTACTGATCGTATTCTCCTCCGATAGACTGAGACTGTTGCCAATTGTAGCCTTCTATGAGACCATTGAACTACGATGATTAGATCTATGTCTAGCGGAACCACATACCGCAGATGTGCTTTCCACGACGGAAAAGATGCAAAGGACCAGAGCGATCGATGCTATCATCTTGTTGTTGTAGTAATTATGATGACTTGTTTGGTATAAGACTCAATACTTTTCGTTGTGGTTGTCCAGACGAGGACATGACAAAGACACCTGCTCAAAAACCATAATTCGTCAGCACTACAACGAGATGAGATCACATCACGATCGTCACAAGGCCAACGATCATCATGAACGACGATGTATCCCAATTAGAGTCTAAATTCTCCTCAGGACAGGTGGGATCACAACGTGAAGCCGCGAAGAAATTGGAGAGCCTACTCCTCCGTACGTCTCCCCCTGTATCTTCGACACCTCTATACAATGTTCTCATCAGTAATCTGACGAACACGAACATCGTCCTATGTGAATCGGCATGGAACACGGTGAGAAGATTGATCCATCCATTTTTGATTGAAATCAGATGGTCGAACTTGTTCGTAAAGACAAACAAGACGAGAAGAGAGTTCAATCCGACATGCTGAACGCTTTCGTATCCACTCCAGAAGGTCCATGCACCTCCTCGGCCGTAAAGAGCCTGATCGATCTCATGTTACATCTCTCTCAGACGTCCAAGGTGATTTCTTTCGATTTCGAGGGGTATGCATCTCACCTCATTTTCAATCAGATCACATACTCGTGGACTCATCACCCTCTTCGAACTGCCCTTCGCAGTCGTTTGGATACGAGACAGGATCTCTTGTGGCAGGTGTGCATCTCTTCTCTTTCATGATTCTATTTCATTTTTTCAATGTTTTTCTTTTCTTCTCTGAAAGATCTTTTCTTTTCCTTCAATTCAAACTTCTTTGAAGGAAAAACCTTCTTTCAATTTCTCTCTTTCACCTATTAAAAATTCTTTCTATTGTCTAATGATATTCTTTCAAATTTTCTCGATATGAATGTACGGTTAGGTCACCCATACGTTGGGTCAGTTATCAAAGGCGAAGAGAGGTGACTGTGGAGAGTCTTTCATCCGAATGGTCTGGCCGTTCGTGACTTCTACTTTCTGCGAGGGTGATTAGACATCCGATCATCGATCATCATCGACTGATCCACGTGATCACATCACCCGATCGCTCGAGATGATCACTTTTCACGATCGATCACCGATCATCATCGTCCATCGACTGTCATCTTTTAAGGTTTAACGAAATTCAGTTCACAGTGAAGACTGGGCACTCGCCGTGAATCAATTGCATTGTAGATTGATCCAAATCGGAAAAAGCGCCGATGCATCCACCTCCCAACTCCGCCATTACATCTTCTCCAACTTGATCGAGTTATTAGTGAGATCATCCATCTACAACTCAAAGAGATATCACGAGGGATGTCATACTGACGAAACCAGCCGTTTCAATCCGTTGTTGATAATGCCTCGAAATTATTCGTATTTTCTGCCCTGGAGAATCTGATAGAAAACATCGTTGTAGATGACAAGAACGAGGCCAGCGGAGACAGACAACTGGCTTTTCAACTCTTAGAGGTTCGTCTGCTGGATCGTCCATTCACTGAACGATCGCAGGCCATCCTATCCATTCTGTGTAACCTGAGGTCCACGCAAAAATCTCTGAATCTTCCTCTGAATCTTCTCGGAAAATTCATCGAACGTTTCTCGTTCTTCACTGAAGATAGTCACGTGATCACGGTCCTCTCTTACCTCTTGATGGGTAAATTTCACTGAAATTTCTTCTCGAACTCAAACGTCACAGGTGGCTCTCAGCAGGAGCAAGTGACCCTCTTGGAATTATTTTCGAAGGTTTTCGACGCACTACAACTCACCACACCCCTCTCCCCCCACATGAAGAATTCGCTGACGTTCCTCGTTTTACCCCTCTTGACCATCACGACTTCACCTCACAGAGATTTCGCGGAAAAGTCGGCGACTCTACTACAGCGCCTCGAAAAATTACTTCGGGTAATTTTATTCTTCCGAATATCCGAATATCAATCTGCCCATACGTACAACCCATTCAAGAGACATTCATCGGACCATTCATCTCCATCTTCCTCTAGTTCATCATCTCATGTCAACACGTGACGCCATCATCATCATCATCTCACACCCTTCTCACTTCTTCAGGTCAAAGGTGTCTCTACCAATTCTCCCTCACACAGAAGAGAATCACCCGCCATCCACGGTATATCGAGCCTCATCTACAACGCGGAGAGATTATTACCCCTATTAAAGGGAGAAGGACAAGTCAGAGTGCACGAATGGATCCACGATGTGACCCAAAAGATCGAGACCAAGGGACAGGTGACGTCATCACACGTCATCGATGATATCATCCGTGTGATATCATGACAGGTCACACCGGCCCTCTTGTGGTTCGTGTCTCCTTTCCTCTTCCACCGGGAAGTGGAGGCTAGATCGAAGATGTCTCAACTGATATCTCACATCGCATCCGTCTCACCTTTCGATGGTGAATCTACAACTACTTTTATTTCACAATTGAATCTTCCATCATTTTAATATTCATCAACTATTTCATCATTTGATTTCGTCATCTACAATCGAATTCGACATTTACGTATAGTTTGACACTTGTGAAAAATGACCAACAAAAACACACGTCCTCACCCTCTCAGGTATCACGCTCCTCCCCCTCCTCCTCTATCAACTCGGTAGAGAGTCTGATCCACTCGTTCAATCTCAACTCCTCTACTGCATCCCCACACTGGCCACACATCCATCTTGCGTACAGCCCGTGTTGAGAACCATTCATCCCATCAGCAGGGCGAGGGGAATGGAAGCTGTGGGTGTGAGGCTGTTGTACAAGCTGTGGTGCGGGCAGGAGAGGACTTTTTCGAGGCTGCAGGCTGCATTGATGACGTACGATCGTAACATGGATGTGGAGGTGAGTTGGATGTGGATGATATGATATCCATGGCATTCAATCATAGCATCAACATCATCACACCATCTCTTCATCACATCATCACATCATCTATTCATCACATCACATCGTCTCCTCATCACATCACATCATCTCTTCATCACATCATCACATCATCACATCATCACATCATCACATCATCACATGATCATCACATCACATCATCACATGATCATCACATCACATCATCATCACATGACATTGTGGATGACCTCTTATTAGATCCGTATCTCCATCTCCTCTACTCTATCTCTCATCAGTGAGAAGAAACCCAAC